CAACAGTTAATCAAAAGTTAATTAAGTTTGTCCTTTCTAGCACATATTGACCCAATTCTACTACAAATATTAGAGACTATAGATACAAGTGGGATGTTTGCAAGGAATAAAACATGCTTTAAATTCGTTTAAAAATTAAAGTTGTTGTTTAGTTTTCAAGCCATGTATTCTTGGAAAACTCTTTAAATGGAAAAATAAAAACCCACAAAAAGTGCAGATTGCGAAATATATATATATATAGTCCCCAGGTGGGTCAGTGGTAAATTTACGGACTTGCAATTCAGCGGTGGACAGAGCAGATAGCCCAGTGTGGCTTATCTCTAAACAAAAATGTAAAAACACGAATCTGGTGAAGGTCGTTGCACTGGAAGTTAATTAGTTTCTAATTTAACCCGATTTTTTAAGTTTTGAGACTTTAACACGTCATAGCTACATGTATTTGTTATACGAGTCACCTCTGTCTGTCCTCCAGTGGCACAGCAGTATTTCTGCGGACTTACAATGCTAAAAAACCGGGTTTCAATACCCGTGGTGGGCAGAGCACAGATAGCCCATTGTGTAGCTTTGTGCTTAACTACAAACAAACAAACACCTTTGTCTATTATTATAAACAGTATCGAAGTAGGTCTTGCAGGTTACAAGCCTTCGCTAACTGTGCTTAAAGTGTTTTTATGTGAACTTGCAGGGAGTAAATAACGTACTCAGTAAACCGCAGTAAAACATAAGAATCTGTCGCTATATACAGTACAAGATACGCAATATTATTTAGCAGTAAAACATAAGAATCAGTTGCTATATACAGTACAAATACGCAATATTATTTAGTAATAAAAAAACTGTATTTTTTGAAGAAACATTCGTAATGTGATCAGCTGTCATTGAGTAGTTATGATTTCATTAGAAGAATACAAAAAAAAACAACAACAACAACAACAGATGCTTTCTGACTTTATGCGCTTATCTTTTCGTTTTTTACTTGGTAGAAAGTCCGGGCATGGCCGGTTGTGTATCCGAGAGTTCATGGTTCGCCTCCCGTTGCCGCAAAAACCCGATCCGCTCTTTAAATGAATGAGGATTAAACCCTTCTCTTCGATCAGACAAGAGTAGCCTAAGAGATGGCAGTTGGTGCTTTTGACGTTAGCTTCCCACGAGTCTGTCTGTCCAGAATAAGGGAAGAAGTTTACGTGAAAATCCTGAAATAAACCAATATTTGTTAAAGAAAGGAAACCTTGAATATTAACATTACAGTGTTCATTATATTAAGTTAACCTAATTGTAACCTAAAATTGATCATACACAGCATTGTGCCTTCTATTAGGTTTTACTAGTTCAATTATATTGTAATTCATCTCGACTATCTTTCCAAGTTTTCCTTTCCACAAACTTTACATTACCGACGTAATCTCTGTTCTAAAGGCCTAACTACATAGAACAAAATTAATAATAATAATAACTTAGTAAATAATGTAGCAAAGTTTATTACCAATCAATGTCAAAAAATAATCACTCACATAAGAAACTTATAATGATTAGAATGCATTGATTCACCAGTTGGCCACCTCACTATCAACGACGTTTTCGGTCGTAATCCCAAAAATATCTCAAAAGGTTTATCCAGATTGGAAGATTTGAGTTAATGCAAAACAATCTTTACGTGCGTAAAAATAAAATAAAATAATCAATATATAACATGAACATATATCAAACATAATAATAACCAATATGTCATTACCTTTAGATAAAGAGTGGAATATAACTCTACTTACAAGCCACTTAAAAACTAGTTGTTTTTATTTACCAAACATCGACATACCAAAAATATCTCAAAAGGTTTATCCAGATTGGAAGATTTGAGTTAGTGCAAAATAATCTTTACATGCGTAAAAATTTACCAAACTACGTGGGAGAAGAAATTCTGCCAAAGTGGTTTTGTTACAAAATGCCATGCATTGAAAACTTACAGGTTACAAAAAAGGTACAATTACTTCTTCTCCCCACCTTGACTCATTAGAATTAATAAATCACTACACAACTACTGGACAAGCCAATCCGGTTGAAGAAGCTTACCTACCAACTTTTAACGACATGACTTGCAATACAACAACAACATGACTTACAATACAACATTTTTCTGTTACTTTTCGAAATGCAAAATTGATAATTTATTTCAGCAATGTGATATTTATACAGCTCGTGAAAATATAGTTTATAGATACAGAATGCTATAATTAAAGACAGATTTACAAATAAATATGAGAAAAAAATATATAACGATTTATAGCCATAAACTGTTAATTAGAAACATACAGTGGGCGTGGGTTGGCTCTGTGGTAGAGCTATTTATTTCGGATCTGGCGAGCAGTGGATGTGTTATAAGAGTGATAGTCAATCCCTTAGCGTGGATGGCGGGTGTAGGGAGCTGTTGACTGGCTGCCTTTCCAGTGGTCATTAGGTCAAAATTAAAGACGGCAGAACAATGTATCTATTTTCAAACAGATAAATACATGCTTAGATGGTGTAAATTCAATTGTATTGAGTTCTAAGGTTGGCGACCTCACTATCAACGACATTTTCGGTCGTAATCCCAAAAATATCTCAAATGGTGTAAATTCAATTGTATTGAGTTCTAAGGTTCGTGAATCGATTTGAAATATTACTACACCACGCATTCTATGCGCATTTTTAATTGTTTTCGTAGAGAAAGGCCATGTGTAATAAATTAACAGTTATAATTTTAAATACTTTTAGGTAAAAGGTAATGCTTATAATAACTAATTTTACTTGGTTCGGTTATTTGCCATGTGTAATAAATTAACAGTTATAATTCGTAAATACTCTTGGATAAAAACCGCTCAAAAATACGTGCTCATTTCTTTATTGTTGTTTTTTATATACATGAACCAAGTCAAATCAGCTATTGTAAGCGTTCCGCTTATTTCATTTGTCTTTATTTACGTTCAAACTGCTAGTGCGCGAATTATTGCTGGTTTTCAAAAACGATTTCGTTTGGTTGTTGTTAAGGGCAAAACCCCCCAATGGACTAGCTATGCTCTGCCCACCACAGGTATCGAAGCTCGATTTTTAGCGTCGTAAGCCTGTCGACTTATAGACCTATCGCTGATCCAATGAAGGTCTTCTAAAAATGAAACAACAGGAATGGAATGCACTATTCGAGTGCTTACTTTTAAATTTAAATTAATGTTTCGAAGGTCCAATACTTGCAGAGACAATTTGCGAAAATAAATTAATAATTACGGAAACAATTTTAAAACAGGTTCCTTCCCACATTATAGTTTCAAAATGGTTATAATCTGTTTGACCTTAAAAACATGATAAGCAATAATTTTTTGGTTTTACTATTATGTTTAAACCAGACAATAAAATGAACGTTTATACACGCCCTTGTTTTACAAGTATTTCACAAGTTGTGAAATAAAATTGTTTTGAAATAATCATTGGAAAAAGCTCATGGCTCATATATCCTTGTAAGATTAATGTTTTTGTTTCTCAACCTTATTGATATAAAATCTCGACATGAGCAAGTAGTTCACGAGCAGCATTAATCCTTGTACGACCTGAATGATCAGAAGCAGTAAGTATACACGTATTTAAAGCAGTTTAAAATGCTTAAGTCTTGAATAATAAACGTTGCTATAATGTATAAAGTGTGATATTACAAATATATATATATTGTAATTATATCTCTTTATATATATATTTTTATATATATTTATATATTAAAAGAGTAATATAGTAACGACAATATCTTCAGGAATATATCGAGTAAACAAAACGGTATTTCTACGGTCGGAGATTTAATTTTCTATTCGAGTAGAATGCTTAGTTTTTACGTTGAATTTTCTAAAGCGAATTAGCCTAGAATTTTGTTGTAAAAATCTGAAAGTTCTTCGTGTTGTTGCTATATTGAGTGTTAACAATGATATTTAAGCTTTTTACATTTGTTTATTAATTTTAGCTTAAAAAAAGTAAATATGCCAAATAGTTTGATAGTTACTGTACAACTCGAAATGACATTTATTGACATGTAGGCATATACAGGTAGTCTAGTATTACTTCCTTACGTCTTTAGTATAAATTAAACAAGACATTACCCTGTTGTTAACACCCTACCAGGCAACACGCACCCTAATAAGACAAATGCTCAAAGTTGTAATATACAGGACTTCTACTTAAATTATGTCCAACTGTCTCAGAAGCAATAGTAGGGCAACCCAAAGATGGGTGTATTTCATCTCACTGTTCCATGTCCTTCCACGTCAAACGAACGTAGCCTAGTGATTAGTGTGGGGGGCTAACGTTTTTTTTTTTATTTCGCGCAAAGCTACACGAGGTTTATCTGCGCTAATCGTCCCTAATTTAGTAGTGCAAGACTAGAGGGAAGGCAGCTAGTCATCACTACCCGCCGCCAACTCTTTTACCGACGAATAGTGGAATTGACAGTCACATTATAACGCCCCACGGCAGAAAGGGAGAGCATGTTTAGTGTGACGGGGATTCGAGCCCGTGACCATCTGGCCATGCTGGGCCGGGTGTGGGGCTAATATGAGAGATCTTAGGTACCTGCAGGGCCCTGTGCGAATTTACAACGCGAAATAAATGCACGATTTTGTGGTTATGACTACCTTGTCAATCTATGTAAGTCTGATAATATAAACTTTAAACAAAAAACATCAAAATGAAATATTTCATAATACGTAATGCTTCAAAAGTTGACTCAATATATATTTAAAAAAAACGTGATGCAAAATCCTGGTGAAACAATGGGTTTCTGAGTGATTTTTCTCGAGTCAGAACGGGTGAAATTTTTCATGATGACGAGAAACCCCCTTGAAGTAAACATGTATTGCCGAGACAGCTGGTGTTAAAAACTTTAATTAAAATAAAGCACAAGTTGTACATGAGTATTACATGTGCATTATGGTGTATCTGATTTAGGCTTTTTTGTTCCTTTATTTCAAGTCGGCTGTTTCTTTCCATAGACATGGCGCAGAAAATGACAACCAGTCTCTTGAAAATGTTTGTTGTTTGTTCCGTTCTTCTAATAATAGTTATTGGCGGGATTCACGCCGACTTCTGTCAACGCTGGCCGGGCGGCTTAGTAAGTTAATAAAAGCCTTTTTTTTTATCGTTCTAAGCAAGGATTGTGTTTTATCTATTTAAACAGATTAAATATATTGTGTTCGAGCTTTACACTCGTACTATACCAAATACATTTAATACTAAAAACTGTATAATGTTTTTGTTGGACGAATATTAAAGTTGGATAAAGTTATTTAAATAAATAAAATTCTTGAAAGGTATTTCTAAATTGAAATGTTTCTTAGTTAAACTGTATTTCTTTTTTTTCATATATCCTAACTCATACTTTCATATCCAATACGACTGATAGGGGGAGCTACAAAGGATTTACTGTTTTAAATTAAAGTTTAACTAACACTTACAAAAACATATTCTATCTCTACAACCAAAACTCTTCTCATACTGAAAGAATGGAGTGTGATATATAGTAACGGATACCATCTTTTCAAAACGAAATATAAGACACCTTACACCCATATCTCGAAAGACGCTAGGTATACGTGGGTATTTCCTGTCATAAGAAGAAAAACTTACGCTAGAAACACCTGGGAAAAAGATTTGTTTTGTTGGGCAACAGTAAGCTAATGAAGCGTAGTGTTTTACTTAGTTCGCAATGGCTGACACTAGATGGGGTTTGTAAAGTTTGTTTGTTTGAAGTTAAGCACAAAGAGATACCTGTGTTCTGCCGATCACACGGGTATCAAAACCCGGTTTCTAGCGTTGTAAGTCCACTGACATTCCGCTGTGCCACTGGGGGGGGGCGGTTTGTAAAGAAGGGGGAATAAAAGACTGACGCTCATTTGTGGTCGATCTTGGTAGAATGTAAAATGTATCATATTAAAATGTTCAGGTGGTAAGTTTGGGAGTTTATAATGCTTAATTTTTGGTTAGATCCCTGAAGTTGGCCATAGTTCAGATAGGCCATTGAGTAGCTTTGCGATTAAAACAAAAACAAAGAAAAATAGGATGTTCAATGTAAGTAACATCGAATTATTTAAAATAGGGGATTTGTGCACCCTCCTGCAAAAACACCCAATGACTCAGCGGTAACCTTTAGGGCTCAAAATCAGGGTTTGATACATTTCGGGGCTTTGTTCTGGAACACAAACAAACAAAATCCTCTAGTAAAAACGTTAGATGACAGCGGGTAAGTTCAGAGAACAGAGGGTTGGGTTGAAACCTTTATATGACATCGTATATAAATCTAATGTTTAAAATTGCGTAAGGAAACTACGTCGAAAGTAAACAACATCAAACTTAGATTTTTCATAGTAATTTTGATATTACAATGGTTGTGATACCCTGAAAAATATTACTTGAATTAAAACATTGAAATCAACACATTATTGAGTTTTGAAATTCCCTGGGCAAAGCGTTTCAGCTATACTCTTTAATAAGAATATTGTATTTATATATAGATAACTTATTGCGATGGATAAACAATTAATGGTTAAAAATGTAACATTATACTACGGCGTGTAAGTTTATAATATCAAAGAAACTTTGAAGTACTCTCACAAGTTCTTTTGTTTTACAAGGAACATTTCAGAAATGATATCAAAAAGACACCAAGTTTTAAGATACCCGAATGACTCTAGTAGAACAGAATCCTTAATGTAGTGGTCTTCTTTAGTTTCTCTGTAATCATAACAATGAAAAACAATAATGCGATAAAATTATTTCTAGTGTGGAGAACCACAATACTTGCCTTGCTGCTGGCCACACCTTCGCTGTTCTTTTGGTCACCCTAGAGTATGTGTGAAAAATTCTATTGGATGAAACCGGAAAACGAGTAAGTTTTCTTAACCTCTTATATATATATTGTTACGACATCGAGATCACGTGACTAGTATCACGCCACGTCATTCTCGAACTTTCACGTCTTTTCCTTAAATCTCGTGATCTTT